TCTTCGGGCTGGTCGAGGTCGATGTCAAAGACGCCCGCCATGGCCCCGAGGACAACGCGTGCGGGACAGCCGCCTTCGCTGCCAAGAGCCGGAAGCGTGCGGGTGAGGACGGAGGGCGCCTCATGGGCCCATGGCACCCGCCCGGAGCGCCGCCATGACGGCCGCCATCGCCCGGGCTAGCCAGGCCCTGCCTCCTCAGCTCGCCGGCGCCACTGCGCAAGCGCCGGAATAGACGGACAGCGCGCGCGCGCGAACCCGACACCGCTGCTCACCCACAGCCCGACGTCATCGTGGTCGTCCTCCAGGACGATCCGCCTCGACAGACGCAAGCGCAATGGGTGAAATAACGCCCTTACTCTGCGCGCACGCGCACCACCTGGACTGCGGTTGTTCGATAGCTGGGGTTGGAGGGCGTGTTCACGAACCAGCGCCCACGTGCGCTGGCGTCGATGTCACGCGTGCGCCAAGCTCGCGACTGATGCAGCCGACTTGCCCTTTCTTGGATAATTCTTTCGCGACTGATTTTCCCGCCTCGGCCGACGGCCTGATGGGCGCCTGCGCAGAAGTCGATAGGGCCGTGACTGTTGCTTGGGGATACGAGAAGGAGGAAGCGTCGATGGAGGTGCGCGCATGCGCCGTGGAAGAAAGACGAAACGGCGGGTAAAACGGGCTGTCGTATATATTTTTGTATACAGTATGCATATAAAACATGCATACATGCTATATATATATGTTTATATATGCCACCTAATTATGTTAACTGTTGTTCATAATATAGCTGAGAATACTAACGCGGTGTGTTTTTTTTAATATAAGATTGCCTTTGTTATTACAACTGTTGTTGGATTCATAATTAATATTTTCCTAATAGCTTATCGTAATATTATTGCCTGATACAAAGGTTTATTCCTTTGTATCAGTCAAGTCATACATAAATATTTGTTTTAATAAATTTAATATAGTAGTGCATGCTAGTCTGTGAGCTTGACTTAAATAATAACAAGACAAAACATTTGACTGTTGTCTATTAATGTGTGGTAGGTATAAAGTTTGGTATATGTCAGGCTCATAGTCATAATTTTTATTTATTTATTAAATTATATGCTGCCTGACTCCCAGCGACTCTGGGGAATTATGATAATGATAATGATATGTCTGCCTGTAAGTCACACACACATCAACATACATGTATTAATATTATATTATTAATATTGTGCATCTTTCTCTGTGTATATATATATATATATATAAAAATGAGCAAGTGGTTTGGGGAGTATGGGATTTGTAGTCCAATGGGGAAGCCTGTTGCATCCCCTGTTAAGGGGGCTCCTTTATAGCCAAGATATGCAACTCATCCAAAGTTGAATTTAGTGGACTTTTCTTCTAAATAACTGGGCTTGGGACTTTTTGGGAAGAGAGCCGTACTTGTCTGGTGGCAAAAAAATCAGGAGTCAGGTAGCCCCCTTTCAGTCTAACCCATTTTATTAAGAGGCAGAAGATTTCATGAGTTGCAGTCCCATCAAATGCATGGAGTGGTTAAACTGATGTAGGATTAATTGGGATGAGGTGGGAAAGGAAGACAGGTTGCTGATGCAGAGTACCTGTAAGGCCGATTATGACTGATTGATTACATGCCATCAAGTCATTTTTGACTCCTAGTGACCACATGGATAGATTTTCTTTGGATGGGTCTGTCCCCAACCTGGTCCTTCAGGTCTTCCAATGGTGCCCCCATCGCCGCTGTAACTGAGTCCCTCCACCTGGTTGCTCGTCATCCTCTTCTTCTCTTTCCTTCCACCTTTCCCAAGATTAGAACCTTTTCCAGACAACTGGGTCTTCGCATAATGTGTCCAAAGTAGGATAATTTATCAATTAACAGTTGTGGTTGCCTCAACAAATACAATGCGTTTTTAAGAATTGTTAGTTGATGTGGTACTTATAATCTGTCTCTCACGTAACCTGCCTCTGCATCACCAACCTGCCTTCCCCTCCCTTTCCTCCCCACCTCATCCCAATTGAAACCCTACATCAGTTTAAGCCAGTGTTTCTCAACCTTGGCAACATTAAGAAGTGTGGACTTCGTGCTGGCTGGGGAATTCCAGGAGTTTCCACACATCTTCAAGTAGCCAAGGTTGAGAAACACTGGTTTTACCACTCCGTTGCATCTGCTGAAGTGAGCTGTACCTCGTGAAAGCTTCTGCCTTTCTGTAAAATGTGTTAGTTGGAAAAGGTGCTCATCCTAATTTTTTTGCAAGTAAAGTAGTGATTTAAGAGAGAATGTGTATGTTTGTGTATGTGAGAGAGCGAGTGAGTAAATAAATAAAGTTGGTGCTACCAGATTTCAGGTTTAAGATGGTGATTGAACTTGGTCTCCTCAGGATTCAGGGGTACGCAAGTGAGAATGTCCATCATAACCATTCAGCTGGGTCAGTGTGGCAACCAGATTGGGCGTGAGGTGTTTGATACAATCTCTAGAGACCTCCACAGCTCCCAAGGATTGTGCTCCAAGAAGGAGAATGATTCTTACCAGACAGCTTGCAAAGAACGTTTCTTTGAGGAGAAACCAGAAGGTAACCTATCATGTCAGGCAACCTGATAATCTCTAGACAAGTTGGGGCCAAAACTCCCCAAGGGAGAATGATGACTGTGACAGATCAAAGTGGGCACCAACTTGGGGAAGACTGATGGTGCATAGAACTTTGCCTGTAATTATAATTAGCAAAGCTATTTATATTTCTTTATCTCATTTAAGGTCTATCAATTAATGCTTTTTAGTGAGAGAGGCCCCAGTCTTAGTCCCATGTGTGATATGTGCAGTATTCTGGTTGGTGATCAAATAATTATCGGGCATCAGGGCACATTTTGTCTAGTATAACATAACTGCAGCCAAATTCCGATTCTACCCCAAGCATGCTCATATTTCTCTGTGCAAGCTGGTATTCGTGAGCTACAGACTGTCTTATCATCCATCATACTTTTTTTAATATAATTTTTATTAATAATTTTAATTACAGTAGTAAAAACTAATAGAAACTAAATTTAGAGAAAGAAAATAGAATGGAAAGAAAGAAAGGAAAAGAAGAAGAAGAAATGGATAGGGTTGGTCTATCCATAGAAGCAGACATCATTATTGACAGTGCTGATATTTTATATCATATGTTATGTTATGTTATGTTATGTTATATACAATATGATATATTGTATTTTAATTGGTATTTATTCTTATTTTTATTGTAAACTGCGTGGTCACATTCAAAAAATTTATCTGGTCATCA